GGTTTGTGAGTGTTGGGGGGGTGTATGGGGGTATTTGGGGTTGGTATGGGGGTGTTCGTGGGGTTATTAGGGGTTCTGGACCCAAAAAAAAATTAATTGTTTTTTTCTTTTTTTTTCTTTTGCGGGGTGCTGATGACCCTGACCAGTAGGTGCCGACCAACCGACCGGTCGGCGGGTCGGCAGCCGACCATTCAAGGGGCATCGACGGCTGGGGTGTGCAACACTGGCTGTGTGACAATATATTTGTATATATATATTAATACAGTTTTCAAGTGCTAACTTCACCCACTCCCTCCCTCCGACCCTTTCTCTGTGCCAAGTGCTCACTCCCACTCCTTCATTTCCCCTTCCATCGTTCTCTCTCTCTTGCCTGCAACCCCGCCCACCCCCTCTCACACAATCTCTTCCTCCCTCCATGTGTCCCTCTGATATTTTGAGTGCTGACCCCTACTTCATTCCTGGTAGTCTATAGAGCCTGAACGTGTAAGATACAATGGGTGGTAGTAGCAACTGCCGGACTGGCCTGGCACACAACACCTGGAAGATGACCTCTCATAGCTCTGATGCTTTCCCACACACACCTGCATAGAACTCATAGATGGCAGGGGATCTTGTGACTCCGATCATGCGGGAGATGGGTGGATAACTAGCAGACTTGGTAGGACCAGACGGGTCTTCTGCCAGTGAACGCTCTTTGCTGCAATTCCGGGCAAAGTCAGTTGGTAAGCATAACCTAGTCTCAGATGGAGGAGGAAACTGCCACTTCTGCGGAGGATGAGCCCATGATTTAGTGGCAGAGGCAGCTATTGCTATCTAGGCTCTGAGAGCTAGCAGAGAAAGGATAAATCCTGGTCAAGGTGTAAGCCCAGGTGGCATGGAGATCTGGAAAAGGAGAGAGAAGTCAGAGGTAGGGATAGAGAGAGAGCAAGGAAGGATTATAATCAGTCGTCCATAGTCTTTGCTACTTCGTCTTAAACGCTCTTCTTAACCTTTAAGCCTTTCCCAAACCGTTTCTACCCTACCTTAATGACCGTACTTTGTATTCGGGTGAAGAAGGTAGCTGAAACCCCATAGTTCACCTCCCTCACATCTTCCTATTGAACTAAGTTGTTAGCCGGGCATATGACCTGCCAAACGTCTAACGGTCTAACCTACTGCCTTGTTATATGCCTGGTAGCATGGCTGTTTATTCTGTACCTGTCATTCCAAGTTCGGCAAGCTCTACCCAATAATGTAGGCTGTCCTTTGCCCGGCGAGTTTATGGGTGTCATAGGACGAATCATTTTGTTAAACAGGTTCATGGACTGGAAGTCCTGTTCGGTGGTGCCCTGGTCCCAGCATTGAAGCAGCCAATATTCAAGGAGGCAGTTTATCGTTGTAGGGTTTTTCTTCCACCACTCGCCGAATGTGAAAATGAGGAATGACGTATTCTGTCACGTTATGCAATCACCACACTTGGGCCGATTAGTAGATCGAGGTCCTAAGTATGACGTTTGTTATGTATTGGCCACTGGCTGTCACATTATGCCATTAGCCTGTTGCCATTTGAACTTGGGGTGGATAGCGCATCGAGCGTTTAAGTGTAGTGTTTGTTGTGTATTCGCCATCAGTTGCTGGCTGGTGTCACGGCTGGCGTGCATTGTATTGACTTGTGGCAACGGTCTATTGCGTGCAGATCGGTGTGATGGTTATGGTGCATGGCGATGACAAAGGGCTTGTTCTTCCTCCAAAGGTTGCACCAGTCCAGGCAGTTGTAATTCCTATCCCAATGAAGGAATTCTCCGGTGAAGTTATGATGAATGCATCAGCAGAAGTCGTCAGCATCTTGAAAGGAGCAGGCATAAGAGCCAAGGATGATACTAGGGATGTTTACACTCCCCCATGGAAGTATAATCATTGGGAATTGAAGGGTGTTCCCTTGAGAGTAGAGCTTGGTCCCCGGGATTTTGCTTCGAAGAAGGTAATCTCTCTGTGTGTTTATCACTTGGTCTGCTATGAGATAAGTTCTATGCTTTTGTTCTCATTTTCGCCTGTTTTCTTCTGATGTCCTGCAATTTGTGTTATTCGATAATGAAAGGTAAAAAGAAAGAAAAAGAAGCAGCGTGCCTTGCTGCTCCTTACCAGTCATAAAATCAGACTCTTCCCCTCTTCCCCTCCTCTCTTTGAATGCACCAACATTGTCATTGATGTTTGCCCACATTGACTTTAGAAGCTTGTGCTTGAACTCCTGTGAAACGACTCCATCATACTGCAGAAACTGTTGGCATACTCACACCAACACTTTCCTGTATGTATAAGACCGCTTTTCAGTCCTGACGTGGATGCATCTGACAGCAATTACGTCCATAGAGAAGAGGAAAAAGTCCTTGTGTGAGTATGCTCTGTGAGGAGGAGGTTAGGTGTGCTCTCTTGTTGATGTGTACGGAGTGGTTTAGGCCCTGTATGGTAGGTTGGGGTACTCTACTCCTCTGATTCCTGTGGAATTCAAACTCAGGTTTGTGTTTCAACAGTTCAGTGGTGTACCGAGCTAGGCCAGTTGGTTTTGTTGGGTAGATTCTCTTCTATCTGTGTTTCTATTTTTGTGTAGGATAATGTTTATGTCATTTCTTATCTGAGTTTCTGCAAACCAATGGACAATTCATGACACTTAAAACTGCTTAGGTCAGTGGTCCTTTCAAGCATATGGGGTGAAAATGAGTACGATTTTCTGCGGCGTCTGTTAACATTGGAACGATAGTGTGATACAGAGAAGATTAGCATAGCCCCTGCGGAAGAATGAATCACATAAATCGAGAAATGGTCCGAGTTGTTTGAAAAGAAAGAAAAACGATTTCTGCTACATTACACACAGAAGTTGAGAACTACAATGATAGGGCAGTCGCTCCACTACTCACAGCATTAACAAAAGACGAAAAATGTGCCAGTGTATCCTTCCATGGTACAGTGGAAGCTTCATTCCCTTTTTCTGTCATTTTGCACACTTGGTGAGTAGTGGAGCGAGGCCCATAAAGGAACCATTGATGCAATGTGTAGTCAGCTCTTCTGAGTTGTGGGGCAATTGCTTTACAAGGTTTGTCACACGAAGCTGTGCGGCGATTGCTTTGCCAAACTGGTAGCCGTTTGACATGTCATCCACGGACGGCATGGAGAGAGAATGAGTTATAGCTCTGTGGGAAATCCTATGATCGAGTTTTTTCCCTCTTTCTAAATATTCAAACCATACTTGTGGTGCATCCCAGGTGTGTGCGCACGGCGGTGCGCCGTGCGCTGGGTTGTGCACGCCTACACCTTGTGCATGCGCATCAGTAGAGTGCTTTTTTTTTGTTTTGTTTCTGTGTGTGTGTGTGTGTGTGTGTGTGTGTGTGTGTGTGTGTGTGTGTGTGTGTGTGTGTGTGTGTGNGAGAGAGAGAGAGAGAGAGAGAGAGAGAGAGAGAGAGAGAGAGAGAGAGAGAGAGAGAGAGTGGCTTCATCATACCGGTGTGAGGAAACCCGGGGAGGTGGACGCCTGCCGCTCGCTGAAGCGAAGGGCAACAGCATCTGTCACCAGCTGTGCCCGCTTCCAAGGTCCTCAGTGACGGAACAGGGAAGTTGGGTTTGAATTGCCTCTCATGTCCCCCGCTTAGAGCTGGGCTTATTGTCCCCTTCGTCTAACGCTGAGAAGGTATGAAAAATTAACTGAAACAGAATAAAAAACATTGTTTTGAATAAAATTCATAAGTTAAAACTTCATAAATAGGCTTAGTGATTCAATGAAATCACTAAGTCTATTTATGAAGTTTTAAGTTAATTCATTCTGATTTAACTTTATTTATTGTATTGAATAAAATTAAATTAATTTAATTTTATTCAATACAATAAATAAAGTTAAGGCAAATAGAAGGGGCCCTAGACAACATGCATATGTTCTGGACTGTGGCCCCCAGCAAGCCTCATGCCCGCCGTAAGTGAAGGCGGGCCTGAATATCCAAGAGGCCCTTATCTCAGCATTTCCCAATGTGTGTCTCAGACAGTTGCTGCGCACCAGTTGGTTGAAGTGCAACCTGGGCCACACCCTGGGCTCTTCTAGAAGCAGCAGCTGTGTCAGGCAGTTGAGCCCAGGACGCGGGTGGTTGCGCCCTGGGCACACGCATTGAGAGGCCGATACATCACAAAGTGGTCGCAGGCTAATGAGAATGCAGCATTGTCGGCACACTAGCCCCGCGGGCCAATGCAAACACAGCAAACATTCAGAGCCTGGATGATCCTGGGTGGCCCAGGCCCTCAACTGTAGACATGGGCCTGGGCGCAGACACTGGGCCCGACCCGACCAGAAGCTACTGGAAACTTCCTCGGCCAGGCCCAGACAGTCCAGCAGCAGGGCAGTGACTCCCATAGAGGAGGCCAGCCAGTGTGTGGTATTCTGGCCTAGGCAGGCAATTCGGACACACTGCTGCAGTAGAGCGCAAGTGTCTGCATGCGCTATTGCTGGCTCGGGCGCGTGCGGCCACTTAGAGGTGTGGGGGCGCTGCAAGGCAGCGGGGTGCCAAGCTTCCATAGCGCAGGGGCATGAGCGGGTAATGAGCGACGGTGGTTTTCAGGAAGGAGGCACAGGTGTGGGTGGACAAGGGGTGATGAGGGGAGTCGAGAGAACGTACCTGGTGTATGTGGGAGGTCGACATTGGTGTTGACGTCATGTACATTGGTCTTTGTTGTGGAAGTGAGCCTGTTGCACGAATGTAGGTAGGTTGGTAGGTTTAGTAGAGTAGGCTGGATGCTGGGCGCCAGACAGTAGGGGCGACATTGAATATTGCGTTGGAGTGGCCCGAGGGTTGGGGCATTGGCTCACGAGTTGGCTAAATTATATCGCTCTTATTTGGATGGAATCTTGGTGCATTTGAGCTCTCTGCTTGTTACATGACTATCTGGACTTCTGTGTGATTTTGCAACTTGGTTATCTGTTTATTCCTCGCAATTTGTTATCGGAGCTGTTTCAAGATCGCCATCATCTGGCGCTGGCGACATTGTTACTTGGTGCGCTGACGATGCTTCTGTGCAGTAAGTATTCATTGGCGCTGGCTTGAGTGAGCGACACCCAGGTAGAGGGGTGCATCGCAGGAAGGCTGTAGCGACAGCGAGGGAGCTGTGGTGACAGTGGATGTATGTGTAATGATGAGAGCATGCTGATGTGGCATTTTGGCTGAGGTGGCACTGCATTGCATTGCGGGTGGTACCGAAGCTACGACCGGTCATCGAAATGCACATTGGCTCAATTGGTGAGAAATCTGTGGTTGGTGGCAACTATCTCTAGGTACGTTGTTCCTTTACCTTATCTTCTCTCTCGATCTCTTCTTATCGTGAGGAAGCGAGTTGAACCTTGAGTGTTGTCTTTTAAGAAAGGAGTCGTGAGCGCTCTACCTTGAGAGACAACTTTCTTCCCGGTGGCACATTTGGCAGGAGAGGGCGGCGCCTCGGAAGGGCCCTGGTGGAAGCACGGGTCATGGTCACCATGCCAACCCATGGGCGTAGTACACGCAGGCCATGCTAGGCTCTTTGCTGCGCCAATAGAGGGATCGTGGATTGACCAGTCCTCTGGTGGGGTTCTGATCTGTACACTAGCTGGGATTGTCGTCCTGTCTGCGATGTTAAACAATTCCTGAGGACCTTGGGGGGTGTCCTTAAAATGCCTCTTGATCAGCCAGATCAGTCAGAAGTAAGGCTCCGTTGCATGCGAGGACAAAGAAAGGGCAGTGCTGGTCATAAGCGGATTCCTGGGCACAGGGCTGGGCCGTTAATGCACACCTTAGACACCGCTCCTTGATGATGCGGACGGGCACGCTGGATACAGGGGAAGGAATGTACCGATTGGTGCTCACTTGTTAATCACAACCGTACCCATTGTGCATACATCTGCATACATGATTTAGTTTTATTTTGATTAGTTGTTGGACAGACTGCTAACACTTAACAGAGCCTAGATCAGTACTGTAGTGTTCTTCTATAGCCAGTTCTCATCGAAGCTGCTGTGAGTGAAACTAATCAGAGTAGGATTAGATCATGTGTACAGTTTGTGTAGATGTTGTTGATACCACTTGAACAGTAGCCTATGTAACTTGCTGAATATTAATTTGTCTTTATTTATTTTTCAACCCAGTCAGACACATGCTGCGGTAGGCCACAGTGAGGGCACTAGTGCAGACGGTGTCTGCCTAAGCTGATGAGTGGACCAGGCAGTGGTGAGGATAAATCTTTAGAAAGGAGGGTGACACGTCAAAAGTCCCTTAGGATCCCAATCGTGCACCAAACTTTACCACCCGAGGGAAAAAGGGCTATACGAAGGGAAGTATTAGCTGAATGTTTGCAGAGGGCTAGAGAAGCGGTAGCAGTAGCTGAGCAATTGCTTGCGGCGGCAAGAGCCACTGCAGCAGCTATGGCTACTTCCGCTGCTTCCTCCGGTCAGTAGAGTGTGGGAATGCCAACCAGTTCACAGCCCACATCCAGCGGGATGGGATCAAGCAGTTCCTCTACTCAGATGGTGGGCTTGCAGTACAGCTTGCCACCTTCGCGCACTAGAGAGGCCATTGAACTCCAGCAAGTGGAGTTGATCTGCTTAGGTTAGAGAAGGAACTTAGAGAAGCTACTGAAAGAGAAACAGAGATTATAACTAGGAAAGCCTGACTAGAGAATAGGAGGGCAGTCAAAGCTGTTGTAGAAGGGTTAGATGACACTGTCATTGATGATAATACGAGGATCCTCAAGGCAGGTCTACTGTCCATGCACACTTGCATGGACAACAAACTGGACACTATCCAGGATACCCTTGACCACATATTGGGTACCATGCAGGGGATGGGAAGGGCTTTTCCATTTCCAATAGGCGGGCCCAATTTTCGGCCTCCAGTTTTTCCGAAACCGGTTTCCTTGTCGGTGATGACAAGTCCCACTATGTTTTGGTTTAGCAGTTCACCAAACGGTACATCAGCA